CTTCAACCACGTGAAAAATGCGGCAGCTCTAAGGAAAAAGGCCATGGAAGGGTCCATCGAAGGAGCGTTAATAAACCCTGCCATGGTGAGCGAGTGCCTGTGCTGTCCCAGTTGGGCTGCGTTACAGTGCTAAACGCAGCGTGAAGTCTGCTGCGGGAACTCGGTGAAGAACGACCCGTGCTTGTAATCACTGTCACACGAGTTGCTGCTATACACCTACTTCACTTTCTCTGCACAAGGGCCCCTCCTCTGACTTCATTACGGTGTTGTATAGCGTAAGGGTTCATCTGTGTAAAAGAAAGAGTATCGGCAGGGGTGGGAAAAAAATGTCTTGATTCACTTCACATCCTGCTTGGTGGAGCTCTTTAAATCTACTTCCATTTATGAAATGCAGCACTAAGTGCATAATGCTGTCAAAGATCTCATTTTTTCTCATTTAAACCCATAACTAATTTCTCAGTCTAGTCTTTTTTGTCAGAATTAGCAAAGCAGTAGTTAGGGAAGGTGAAAAAAATAATTGGCAATTTACTGACAGAAAATGTATTAGTGTGATTCTTTTTTCAAAAGATTTCAGAAACCCGATTGAGAGAGCACAATCTTTATGTCAAATATAACCCCCCACAGGAAATAATCATATGACTTTGGAAGAGCAAGAATTGCTAAAGTAACTAGTAGAATACTGTTTTGCTCACTTCTATGATTGCAGGCTCATGCTACTGAAGTTTAGTGGTCAGGATTTTTTTTCAGAGTTCAAAATAGGACATTAAATTTATGTTCAACTTCTGTTGTGTTTTACAGATTGTAGATCCTTTTCAAATTCTTGTGGCAGCCAACAAAGCAGTTCATCTACAAAGGATAGGAAAAATGAAGACCAGAACTCTCAATGCAGAAATTATTTTCAGCCTTTCACCAAACAACAATGTAAGATTTACTGAACAAATGCCTTTTATTGCCAGAGAAGCTTGCGAAGATCCATGCAGCCAAACTGTATATATGTATTCATTTAACTGTTCACCTGGCTACTAATAGAAGTTACAGCTATTTTTAATAACACTAATATGTTGTTATCTCTTGTAGCTTGTCAGAATTCCATTAATGTAAAACTGACAATTTATATTCTTGGTCTGTTTGACCCTGTAACTGAAAAGGTGGCTCATATATAGTGAGAAAGTGAAGACTCTCATTTTCTTATTTTTCATCCTTTCTTAGATTACAGATGCATTTAAAAAGTTTGGCATTTCAGACAGTGACACAGCGGTGCTCATTGTTCTGGTTGTGGACAAAGAAAAAACTGTGAATCTGGGAGATGTAGTATCTCAGGTAGAAGGCCAGCAGGTTTCTCTGGATGAACTCCCCCAACTAACAGACACTGCCAGAGTTAAAAAGGTATGTAGCCAAAAGAGATGACTGACGTAGAGAAAAGTGGACATAACTACCTTAGGGTCTGTATTTCTTTAGCATAACTGGAAACTTGTTCTTAGTGAACTTGATTATTTCTTACTTACAATTTTTTTACTTGAAGAAAGTTCTAGTTGTCAGACCCCCAACAGCACAAATTTTAAGTCTTCAAATTCTTAGCATCGTCAGGAAGTTGGAGCATAAAAATAAGTTCCAGATTGCTGCCTACCATTCAGGCACTTTTGCTTCCTGTTTTCTCAGGCAAATATTCATTTGATTAAAAATAAATTTCCAGTCCTGAACAGTTTCATAATCTTAAGCACATAAATAGTCCCAGCATGGGTGGCTGAACTAAAAATGTGTTGATTAGCTGCTAGAAGCTGCACTGGGGCATGTGTGCTCTTAACAGATTACCATATGCTAGATAAGTATCTTTAAGCATATGTGTTTCACTTCAACTTAAAATTCAAGTAACTTAAATATTTTCGATCATGTTGGTCAAAGTAATGATGGGAGACATGAATAAAACTGGACAAATCAGAGCATACCACATGTGGAGCTAAAAGTGCTGCTCTCATTCAGTTCCTTGGCTTTCTCTATGTCTTGTCATTTCAGAATTTGCTTGGTTCCTTAGTCCCAGTTTTATATTGCATGACAAGATTAAAATTTCAAGTGTAAAAAGTGGGGGAGAGGGGCAAATCTGGGGCACATATTTTTAGAAGACATGTGATGAATTTCTTCCTTACACAGCTTTTATTTTTTTCTTACTCTTTTTTTCTCTGCAGATGTACAAAGTTACTCCGCAGGAAGAAAAAATCGGCACCTTATTGGATAGTATTGTTTGCAGAATGTCAACAAAAGATGTTATGTGAAAATGTGGAAATAAATTTTTTTGGAAGGAAAAAAAGGGCTTTTTGAGCTGTAAAAACATTTAATTGCAATTTATTGTGCATTTCAGAGAAAGTGGTGTAGTACTGAGCAGTTTGATGACATCTGAGCTTTAATCATAAATGAGCAAGGTTGAATATGGGGGTAACCAGGGCTGTGTTCTAAGCACAGAGAGAAATCTTGCCATGCAAAGCAGAATTTTCTGTTGGCATTTCTGTCCATTTCCTTAACAAGATTAAAAAAATCACTTTTGACAGTACCTTTAGTTGATCTAAACAGAAGGCTGGGAAATCTCTACTTAACTCTTGTCTTTCATCAAATGTTTTGCTAGGTGCAGGTAGGATTCAAACATTGTAAATCATTTTTATTAGTCCTCCCTTGATTTGTTCTGTTTTGGCACCTCGATGGATGATGTCCTTTTAATGATACTGCTGCCGGAAAAGGCGTCTCTGTGGCATGAAGTATTGCTGATGGACTTGGAAAAGGAAAGTTTCCATTAACTATAAGCAGCACCTCCCTCTTTCTGCTAATGGGATACAGTCACTGCCCACCCGCTGGGAACAGGAAGGGCCCTGTGGCAGCCAGTGCTGGAACAGTGTGGAGCAGGGGTGTCAGGGATGTGTGGGACCATGAATGAGGTCAGCATGGATGATGCTGCGGTGGTGGTAGCACCTAACAGTGTGACATTATCAGATGCAGTGTGCTGCTGAGCTACTGGTGTGTTGCTCGGGTATTTAAGTGTTGGTGTTAAAGGATAATGAAAGGTGCTTTTACTACGTGACCCTGGATTATGCATGGTAATACTGACTTTGTAGGGCCTGGTTCCAGGTACAGAGCTCACAGAGAAATTTTCACCCTAAATTTATTCACTTTAATTGTCAATGCAACTTCCATAACATTGTGAAAGGATCACTGAACTTGTTTGGTTGAACCAGTGTTAAAGGCCATCAAAAGGAATGGAAAAGAGGTCCAGCAGCTCTGTGTGACTATCATTCAATCACAAGCAGGCATCCTGTTTAAGGAAAAAACCCACCCTAATTAGGTAGAAATCCATATGCTATTGTTAAGGTATATGGTTTTTCTGGGATGTGTATACTACTGTAGCTGTTTGAATATGCTCGGGGTTTTTTTCCCTAATGTTCTCTAAGGTGTTATGATTTGTGTACTTAGAAGATATTTGAAAGAGTACGGCCCAGATTCTTGCACATAGTGTTCAGGGAAACAAAGTGTATTCTGGGGGAGAGGCAGGTCTGAGTTAAGAGTCTAAATGTTATCCACTACTGTAAACAGACCGGCAAACTAACACATAGACCTAGTATTGTCTGTGTTTCTGTATTTAATACGGAAATCCCTAGTTTCTGTTCTGCATTTCGATTTTGGTTAATTCTTCCCTCAATTAAAACATGGTAGTACAAGTACCATCCTTTTCTTACCAACCAAATCAATGGCAGAATACTTGCCAAGTACCAAGGGAATTAAAATGTTTATCAAACAAAGTGATTCAGGAGAAATGACTCTGCCAATTTCTTGATTTAAAGATGGTTCTATAGAATGTATCATCCTCTGTAAAGGGAAATGTGAGGCAATAGTAAAGAAATGGAGCTTGGAAGGGCTTGAGTGTTTTGAAATAACATGTGCATAATATCAGCATGAGAGAATGACTATGGCAAATAAAAGACTTGTTTTCCTTTTCTGACAGTCCAGTTGGTACATGGAGTATATCACCAGATTTGCTGGCTCAGCTGCTGACATTGGTTTTGGTAGCTTAAAATAACAGCAGGCAGGTATGCTTAAAGCACAGCCTTTTTTGAACATGTGTAAAACATCAGCCTTGGTCTGTTTAATACAGGAGAAATACTAATAAAAAGATCCCTGCATAACAGTTGATGCACAAGTTACAAACTTGGGTTCCCAGTTTCTAATTCTTACCAGTCTATACCATTCTGTAGAAACAGTAAATTGTTACTGTTGCCATGAGTTAAATTATGAAACTGTGATTTACCATGAGAATTGAATAAGCTGTTTTCATGGGTGGATTTACTGGAGAATATTCTGGGAGCTGAAGCCTCCTGGCTGACTTGTCATTCAGTCAGGCAAATGATTCAAGTCTGTTGGTAGTGAAGACTATGCCATTGCCCTGCAGGACCAGTTTTCACCTACTCCTAGTTGCATTATCTGAGTTAAACAAATTACTTACAAAAACTGCTAATAAAGTTGGGTTCTGTTGACCCTGCAAAGGTACACTTGTCTTTCTGAAAATTAAAATCAAAATTAGTATATTTGTATATGTAAGATTGCTGTTAAATCAACCCCCACTGTTTTCCAGCAAAGCAAAAGTTTAAGGAGCTTAGAATCATAGAATGGTTTGGGTTGGAAAGGACCTTAAGATCATCTAGTTCCAAACCCCCTGCCATGAGCAGGGACACCACACACTAAACTATGTTGCCCAAGGCTCTGTCCAACCTGGCCTGGAACACCACCAGGGATGGAGCATTCACAGCTTCCTTGGACAACCCATTCCGGTGCTTCACCACCCTCACAGTAAAGATCTTCTTCCTTATATCTAACCTGAACTTCCCCTGTTTAAGTTTAAACCCATTACCCCTTGTCCTACCCCTACAGTCCCTAACGAAGAGTCCCTCCCCACCATCCTTATAGGCCCCCCTTCAGATACTGGAAGGCTGGTTTTTTCAAAACATTCAATGTTCTGCTGCTTCTCTTCTGAACTTTCATACCTCACCACCTCTATCACAAAGGAAAGAGAGGAAGCTGAAGCATTTTCAATACTTTATTTGGGCCTTCAGTGCTTCAGAGCTAGGATTATACCTGCAGGAGATACAAATTTAACAACTAAATGTAAAAGTATGATGTGTGCTCAGTTGTTCTAGCTTTTATTTTTAAGGTGGAGTGGTTTTGGGTGGTTTGGTTTGTTTTTTTG